GCTTCTTGAGACGTCCTACTCTATTTTTCATTGGTATTTTTCTGGCGACTAACTGACAAAGATGAAGATGAGGGTAAAGACAAAGATAAAGTTGTCAGTGGGATTTGAGACATTTCTGGTTCAATTTCGAATGTAGAAATCTGGATTCTACAACCAAGCAGCAATGACTGCCCATTTATTCATGCAGTTTTTCGAAAATCCACTGCAAAGCAGAGAAGGTTTCCGCCAGATCCCTTTTTCTAAGCGGACTGTCAAATGCACCTTCCTCACTGAGCTCACAGCAAGCCTAGCGAGGAAAATGGCACTTGAGATTTCGAGCACCATAATGAAATTGTAAAAGCGGAATCCTCCTTGGAATTAAGATGTCAGAGAGAAATGGAATTACGTAACTCAAAAGGCATTAGCATTCGCATTAGCGTCAGCGTCACAGCTGATAGTTTCTGAGCGCGCTTTGTTCTTGCGAAAAAAGCCACAAGGAATCATCCAAAGTGCGTCATCACCATTGCCCCACCCCGTGGCAACTGGCTGATAGTATTGTTCCTTCATGGACAAAGCCGAATCCTCAGTCTAGACTTAAACTTGCACCTCTGCAGGAGAACCTCATAACAACTGCGCATCGCGTTCTTAAGAATCGGTTCTTCATTTTGGATCCGGAACAAAGCACTGCGAATCACAGAAATGAAAAATCACTAAAAGGTAGGGGTTTGCATACTTCACCCATTTACAGCAAGTTCATTGAAGACAGTTTCTCCCATCAAAAGTTGTGGTCATTTCGTTTGGAAGTAAAGGTAGAGGGTGCAGAGTGGACCGAAAGGAAGACGATGTGAGTGGAAAAGAATAGCCATCGAAAACACTGAAATTACGGCCTTTTTTGGAGGGGGTACTGCGATACGATGAAGAGAATCAGTTTGCTGAGGGTACCCCCAGGAGGCCCGTCGCGCGGCAGAAAGGCAAAGTCAGCGGACGAGTCGCGCGCGCACTATAGGGATTTCGCGTCAAGTTAAGAGTGTCCCATTGCACGCTCGTCCGACGACTCTGCCTTCTTGCCGCGCGACGGGCCTCCTGGGGGGTACCCGTTTGCTGAAGGGAGAGAAGACGCCTGCTCCTTATATTGCAAGTTAGAGAAGCGGCGGTCGCCTCTAGTAATCTGCACAGCTGACAGAATCCTGCTGTCCTTATCGCGCAGTCTCGATCTGTAAAATGTCAATGTATTTTTACCTGCAGAACCTGCTACCCTGGTCGCATAAAAAAATACGGGGTGTGCCTTAGGGTCTCATTGGCAGCTACCGACCAATACCTCTGCCAGAGTATCCACCACATCACTCCAATTCAATACATTCGACGTTCACTTTGTGCAAGGACAAACAAACGAGATATTAGTAGCGATGGGTGCAATGACTGTGTGGTTAGTGCGGCTGCTCACCATTTTGGTGCAAAAGATCGGGCGTAGAAAGAAGTGGCGATCGAGTCGGGAATAGGTGTAGGACAAAAGGGAGAAGGAGGGATGTAGAAGACGATTGTGGCATAGCATAGGGATGAATCACACAGGAATGAATTCACTGAAATCACCACAGTTGTCATTGTCGTCTATGTCACTCCGTTCCCCCTTTCTCCTTTTCTTTTGTCCAGAACTAATAAAAAATGAAAACACTACGCTAAAGCTAAAAAAGAGCCTGCTACAAGTGCAATAAAAAGGGTAATCGATTGTCACACAGGCTCACCTCGACTTCCGAATCTAATGATGGGCTACACTTTCGGTTGTCAGGACTGTCGCTCGTGGAACTTTCCTCCTCAATAACTCCATTTCCCATTCCGGTCCCTATAAAGTGTATCCCTCAAGTTGTATTCTCCACGAAGAATCATTTATCCTTCAGAGTACTTCATTGGAGAATTCTCACCTTGCTCTGCTGTCGTGGTGTCGATCTCCTGGAGCCATTTCTGATGATTATGCTTTAGATTGATGATCATCTCAGGCTCGACCAAACCCGGCAAGATAGGCAGAAGCCCGGCCTAAAATCATCTCATTAGGAACTCTCTAAGAATCGTAGAAGCTCAATAAAAACCTCATTCATAGCCAAAGCAAGAGGGCTGACGACATGAGCTATAAAGGAGTCCTGAAGCTTGGCTACTTGGGCGTCGTCCCGGTCCATGTAGGGAGTGATCGGCATACCACGCCTTCGTTCCTCGTCTCCCTGAGAAATGTTAGATTTTCTTCCGGCTCATGCTGCACTTCAAGAAACGATATTTCGTCCATAGCCGTCATCGAGATTAACGATATTGAATCGATCAAAATACTGGGGCTATTTCTGTTTGGTTTTAAGCGAAACATAAAGCTAATGAAACATAAAGCTAATGCAAAAGGATTAAGCTTTTGCCGTTGATCAATCCCGTCTAGGGATGCGGCACGCATTCTATCGAGTTGGTGCATAAATCGCATCGGAAAAAACGTCAAACAAATCCAAAGCAGGCAAGCATAAACTAATCAGTGATAGTTCTTCTCGTCATTATAACGGGGGGGGGGGGGGGCGGGGGGGGGGGGGGGGGGGGGGGGCGGGGGGGGGGGGGGGTCGTTTGATCCCATTTCGCGAAAGATTGCCGGGTCCAGAATTTAAAAAAGGGTACTGAGCCCGTTTTCAGAGTCCTCATCATTCTCAATATGTACGACGTAAATATGATTTGTGATTGAGGGTCGATCGGAGTAAGTTTCGATGATGACGATAGATCCCGAAAAACTCCCATTTTGGCAGCTTTTTTCTTTATATAGATTTTCGCCCACCCTGAGTTTCCAACTTCTAAGCACCATATCTGAGTACATTACAATATAGAAGAAAATGCAAACAAGGTATTGTAGAGCGGAAGAAGTACTTTCAAATGATATATGTGATTTCCTTGGTAATACTTGTATTCACTGAATTTGTAGCTCGAGAAAAAAAAAACGCTACGTTATTATGCACCAACCCAATACTTCCATTTGTACATTCGTAGTGGCGTTTGAATGCGATGTGGCCTATACAATGACTTGCGGGGCCAGCCGATGTACAAGTCAGTGTTTTTATCCTCCCAGACAAGTCTGGTACCAATTAACCGACCCCGGAGGGATGGAAGGCTTGGTTGGCCCGGGCGACTCACGACCCAGGATTTGATCCCCGGACCGCTCGCGTGGTAAGCGTGCCACTTGCCACTACACCACTTCCGCCTCTTCAAGCGAAACCTAAAGCGGTTTTTCCACACACTGATACGCAAGAGCTATCTCTTGAGAGCCCTGTAAACGGATGGGTGGAAAATAGCTGGAACCTTACAGAAAGTACGTCGATGATGACAGTCACCTGGTGTTTTATGAGGAACAAACCTTAACCTTTTCACTTATTATGAATCAGTGCTCAATGAAACTCATAGGGTGTAGGGACGTGGTCCGACCGCACCCTTTCAGCAGTGGCTCACCAGGAGGTGTAACGGATCACCCTTCCAGCAATCAAATCTTCAAAATTGCCCCCACCACTCAGCGATTATGCTCACTGTCTTTGAAGATCTCCCTCCCTGTACATACCTGGAAATTCAAAGGTCTTTTGATAATTTATATCATAGTTTTCTGATTGAAGTGTGAACAGAGATCTGTCTCGTCCAATAAGCACAAACAAAACGTTATAGCGTCCCATCGAACCTGCTCGTAAAACTCCTCGCAAATTCGATCAGTCCATTGCCGATGAAGGGCATACGGTTTTGTGGGACTATTGATGTCAGCCATTTTGATCACCATCTTCGCCATAAGAAGACGATCTGACTCATTTTGCAATTCCATTTCGCTGCTCTGAAAATGATGCAATTCCATGAAGTTTCAAAATCGCATAAATTTCTAATAGATTATAAAAAAGAACGCTATAGCTCACCTTCTCGTTGAATGTCATAATTATTTCGAAATGCTGCTTGAGATCTGTGGCCAGGATATATTCCAATACGAGATATCTGCAAATGAACAAGTGCTGCAAGAAATCAACTTGGAGATTTGCAGTTAATCTAATAAATAATTCCACTATTAATTTTTGGACTGAAGTTCCGACAGCCTCCTAGGCAACGCCTGCAATCCAATGACAACCCATTACAACTCCAGCACAGCACAACTTCCAATAGCGGCTGCAATGCAGTTTCTACCTTTTTACACACTAATCCAGAACAAAAGTTCACAGGGTAAAGCCCCAGTTAGGGGTGAGGGCACTCCTTGTGTTCTCCAATACCTGAGATAAGAATGAGAGCGCTGACACGTAACCGATCATCTAAAGCGTACTTCTAATAGGTGTCGGCGTAGTGTAGGAGTTACTCCTTGAGTGTTTCCACAATTCAGCTTTCAATGGTCCAAGAAAATAGCTCTGAACCAGGGGAATGGAGGGCCGCTTGTTTCTACCTAAGGGATGGAGACGCTCCAGGATGCATGACCTCGGGCAGTGAGAACTAGAGTAGGATGTGGAGGTGTAGGACGTATATGTAGAATGTAAGGCATTCCAAGAGCCTTTATCAAAAAGCGCTTTTCTGATTCGTGTTCACATATTTACCATCCTCCTTGCGTCTTGGAGAGCACAAGGAGTGTCGGAGCAGCAAGAAAGGACAACGAAGAGTGCCTCTCCCTGGCCCCCCCCCCCTCCGTCAAAAAAATCTGAATTTCACAAGTTCACCAGTTGATCAGGTCTCAGTAAAATTCAACTTACTAGTGTGAAAGGGGTGGTGCCGACGTTTCCTGCTGGCAGAAAATCCAAAACACCTACACCGAAGAGCAGTTCTAAAGACGTTGAAGTATAAAGCTTTTTGCCTGTGGATCGCCCAACGCTATGGGACCCATATCATGTTCTAATGATAAGAAAATGAAGTACAAATAGCTCTTGCGCGCATGCATCCTCGCACATGCACACATTGGAGAGTGCAAGGTGAAGCTTTGCGAAATTGGGATCTGTGGCCAGAGTAGACCCCAATACGAGATACTTCTAGGACGCGTCACCTATTTGACTTTCATCCAGAACCACAAGGGAATTTGAATTCGTCGAAGTCAACAGAGCGACTTGCGTATGACTATCAATGAAAAAGTTAATGCCTTTATCATTCTCGGGAGAATGGCTAGTCTTCGGAGACCGCAGGGATGGAAGCTTGGTTGCCTCCAGCGAGAACTGAGAGGGAATTTGGTCGCAAACAGTTTGCATCACATATATCGCCCCTTGCCGCTTCATCCCCTACACTCACACTGAACATAAAATGGCAGTGAGTAGTGAGTAGCCTCAATTTACGTGAAATGTCTTCTTACAAAAGGATTAAGGATGAAAATGAATAGCACAGTAAAGGTCAACCTCAGCTAAAATGCACGTGCATTCGCCTTATCCGTATTTGTTTTATTTTCGATTCGCAAAAGTGTCTGATTCAAGGGAATCGAACACGGAGAAATTCTCATGTCGAGGTTGCGAAACGAGGAAACGAAAAGGAGGATTCCCGGAAAAAGTGCCCTCTAAGACGGGGGGCCATTTGCGTCATCTTGTTAGGCTCGACGAAAAACACGAAAAAGATGGAAAGTGACGCCATCGCGTGGGATGTCTCCAACATGGAAAACCATGGCCATAAAAAAGACCGAGTCGAGCAGTTGACATGAAGGGCGTAATTGCAAAGAAGCAGAAACAACGAAATATATAATAGTATGTGTAACATGGTTTATATATGAAGAACTTAAGCGTTTGAAGTCGGGGCCTTCAGGATTTTTACGCCTGAGCTTCATTTTGAGTTGCCGATAGCACAACTGCTTGGAAAACAAGTGATGCGAATTCAATCCCTGCCTGGGCGAAGAGTTTTGCCCACAAAACGAGCATTCTCGTGGCAGCATGCGATGATGTTTTCAGAACTTTTGTGACACTCACCTGAACCGCTTGGTCTCAGCAGGGTCGAGCGTCTCGATGAAGTTGTTTTCAGTCAGTTGCAACAACCGCCAGCTCTCAGCCGCGTGGTGATTCTCTAGTACTGATCGGTCATTGTAGAGAATCGCCTGCAGAAGAACACTTCTCATCAATAAGACGGTGTATCGAGCTCAATTCCAACAAACCTTCTTGTCTTCAGCAGCGACCAAAAATGCGTTCGTCCGACCCGGATGATCGTAGTCATGCATCGCGGCCGCCGTATATAAGGCCATCAACTGGAAAACGAAATGATCGTCTGACCAACGGTTTCCTCTCTCACAGCATTTCTGAACCCATATTTGTAGTATTACTGAGTCTGACTTCTTCGACTAGAAATGAAACGATATTCTAAGGGTAATTGAACGCGTCTGGGACGCTCCTGAACTGATCAACCGTTGGCATTTACGACGGCGGCGGTCATTTTTCGTGCACTACTATTTTTTTCAGTTAAAGGCCACGAGTTCAGGATTAGGCAAACCAGCAGAAGTTCTTCCCAGAGTGCGATGTGGGCTCCCCAAGCACTGAGACGGGCTCTCGCGCCAAACATGCGCGCCAATGGCGCTGAAGGCCCTGTTCGTCGCGCTGCTGCGGGCCGCACGCTAATCCACCACGGATAGGCGTATCGCGCTCTTTCACGTTTTAAAGGTGCTTTCTCGCGTTTCTATACTCGCAAGCGCTGTGCCTTTCCCATACTACGGGCGCTTTCTTGCGAGACGCATAGGCAGTTTTCTAGGGCAGGGTGAATATCGCTTGAGGATTCCTCAACGGCACGTCGAGGATTCTCTGCCCGATCAGAGACGATCTCTCGCGCGGACATTCACACTCGCCATGCCGTGCCGTCTGTGCTCTCCGCGCGGATGTTCACTCTCGGCCACTACTCTCGCATGGCAGAGAGCTATGGTCGAGGATTTCCTCGACCGTTATTCACGTGTTCTATGGCTACTTTTTGCTTTTTTCTCGTGTTCCTCATTGCACTCCTTGCTACACCACTGTTTGAACAAAAATCGAAGTCAATTCAATCCCGATCGTAGCCGGTGAGTCAGTTCGCGGAAATAATGGCATCGATTTGCGGTTGGTGTTAAAAAACACGGCTTAATGCCGCCCATCTTTTGGCAGGGGCTGTGTCTTTCCTGACCGTTTCTTTAAATTTGTTTCGATGTACGCAAGGTTACATGTACTATAAATAAATTAAAATCTTCGAGACCCTGTTTTTTGTGCAATCTGACGTGGTTCTAGATTCAGCAGAAGATATGTTCCCTGACTCGAAGGATTGCTACTTTCTCTTGATTGTCTCGAGATAGCGAGATACGGAGGCATCCTCTAGCACAAAGTCCAGGGGGGACATCAACTTTGGGGAAAATTGAAATTTGGCCACGCACGCCGGCGTCTACCCTTCCCTGCCAAGGCTTGATCCCGTGTCCAACAAAAAGAGAATGTTTCTCGTGCTTCTGAATGCATTTCCGCCACAATGCCCCATTTCTTGGCGATAGCGCCAAGCTAAAAAAAAAAAAAAAAAAAAAAAAAAAAAAAAAAAAAAAAAAAAAAAAAAAAAAAAAAAAAAAAAAAAAAAAAAAAAAAAAAAAAAAAAAAAAAAAAAAAAAAAAAAAAATTTTAGATGTTGTAGTAAGGACTGAGCTACGCGCACTTCCCACTAATAAAAGGGAGCTGAGAAATGCTGGGAATAGTTAGAAAACTTGAGGCCTATAAACTCCAAAAAATCGGAGGTGGAACGATGCGAGGAGTCGGTAAGAGACAAAACACGCGGGAGATCACGCGTCGGGGCGAGGCGCCGACATGAGAGAGGGTGGGAGCGTTGCAACGGGGGTCGATGGTTGCAGGCCCGGTAAAATACGGAGCGCCCGCAACTTTTGCGGTGAAGCTGGACTGATCTACATAGGTAGGGACCTCGCAAATTCCCTTGCGGTATCATCCTTCCCACAAGTCGGGCTAATCCCGGGGTTCGCCATTAATCTCTGAGGCAGACCACAAAGGAACTGAGCCGGCGTATGCTGAACAGGAAGGAGTTTCGACGTCTCGTGAACAATGTGCAGACTGAGAAAACGTCCACATTTTGTCAATTAGTATTATGTTTTTGCAAATCACTTCGAAGGAAGCGCACGGCTAGGTATTCCCTCTCGTTAAAAATAGTTTTTAAGAATATAAAATTCGTGCAAAATCGAAATCAAATCTTACCTCTAATGTGCTCATACTAGCTGAGATTGGAGCGGCCAATGTAAGCGGTGGGGGCAGCAGAGAGTCAGGAGAGGTGGTCGGTCCAATAAGTGGACGCACCGGATGGCAGGTGAGGTAGTAGCAGCCGTGCAGCACGTCTGCGGCGTGAACTCGGTTATGATCTGCAAATGTTAATTTTATAAGTCGCGCTGTCGGAAAGGGTCAGCTGAATTCAAAATCACTCACAAGGAATATCCCAGTACCCTCGTTCTAAAGCGTGGAAAAAATTGAAAAATTTAATCGGTGATAATTTGAATATTCGAAACAAATCCGCTTGCTTGAAAACCGTGTAGGTGAGCTAAAAATAGCAGAATTAGTATTTTGTCCTCGCCAAATTTACGTCGTAGCTTCGAAAAGCTACCTGCAGCCATCCAGAGAAGTGATGGCGAACTCACCCGGCTGAGCACCGTCTTATTGTGTTTTTCGGCGATTTCGAAGATTGGCAAAGACCAGTCGGCCACCATCGCCATCCCTCGGTCATTGTCGAGGTCCCTGGTGTCGAACTTCTGGCCATCGACCGTCGTCACTATGGTGTCGCACAGTGAACCGCTGAAACGAATCGTCATCTGGAACTGAATGAGGGAGCTGTGCCAAGTGTTGAAGCCATGATGGAAAGACCAACAATGAAATAGATGGGGTCCTCGCGCAAAAAGGTCATTTGTCTTCCAGACAAACTTCACACCCACGTGGTGAGTCCCTCAAGGCTTTTCGAACCTCCTCAAATCTTGACGCTTTTGAGAGCTCGTTGGTGGATGAGCTTGGAGTGCAATGGGAAGTCTTAAGAACCTCCTTGAGGAAACCCAACAATCAGCCGAGTTACGGGCTAGAGAAACGCAAGCCTTTCGCGACATTCCATCACCATGTTTCTAGGTCAACAATAGTTGTTTGAGAAGTAGCGACTGAACAGAGCGAAAATACCAGAAATTGTTATCGAAAAAGCGCTCATTACAAATTGTTACCCTATTTCCGGTAGATAAGCCCGCGCTAGTATCACGTAAAAACACCTCCGCTGGTGCAGTGCACTTGAGTACATCTAGAGACAACCGTAACTTGCCCATAGGGGTAATTCGATATGCTGATTACGAAAACGACATTCATTTTAGCGGTGGCGCCATCTGGCGCCAGTTGGCGTCACCTTGTCACGACCCTTGTTTTCACCAAAATCGGTGTAAACTTCTGTATAGGGGTTATTTGGTGCCCTGATTACGAATATGACATTCGTTTTTGGCATTAACGTTGTTCAACGCATATTTCTCGGTTGGAGAGCGCAGACGAGCAGAAAATAGGCGCCAAATAGCGCCAGCGCCGAGAATGAATGTCATATTCGTAATCAGGACACCAAATAACCCCTATACGGAAGTTTACACCAAATTTGGTGAAAACAGGTGTCGTGACAAGGTGGCGCCAACTGGCGCCAGATGGCGCCACCGCTAAAAATGAAAGTCATTTTCGTGATCAGGGCATCGACTTACCTCTATAGGCAAATTTGCGGTGGTTTCTAAGGTGTACAAAGTTACACTGCACGAGCGGGGGTGGTTTTACGTGAAATCGGCGCGGGCTTATCTACCGGAAATTAGGGTATTAGATAATTCGTCCTGAAGTCAGCAATCTTTCTAAAGTAGCATCGGCGGTGTCGTTAAATTCTGCCGTTTACAAATCATTAGTCACTCACATGAGCAGTCTGTTACCACCTACACAACCGAATTATCTAATAGAGAAGAGCATAGGAGGTTGCATGATGTTCCCAGCACGAGTTTGGTGGGAACGTACATGGGTACCATACCTCTGTGAGGGACTATACCCAAAAGGTGAGGATGTGTCGAGGAACTGTCTCCATGTCATATCTGGAGGAAAGCGTAGTCCCAGGCAGGGTCAACCGTCACGTTCGAACATTTTCAGGGTTTTTGCGACCCCCTTTTCTCAAGGGGGTCACCCCCTTATCTCAAGGGGGTCCAGTTGCGACCCCCTCTTAGGTAATGGAAGTGCCGAATGTGCTGACTAAATGTTAAGTGAAATATTTATTTCACTCATTTTACTTCAAAGACAGTGAACTAAAACCTTTTAAAGACAATGAACTTCCATGACATAGAACAAAACATTTGAATATTGAATTCTTCACTGGCATTTGAATTGAATTCTTTTCAAAAAATCATTGAATTTTTTTCAAAAATTCAATGATTTTTTGAAAAAAATTCAATTCAAATGTTCAGTAAAGAATTCAATATTCAAATGTTGTGTTCGTAAGTTCGTAAGTTCATTGTTTTCAAATGGACAATGAACTTCCATGAAATATGAACAGAACATTTGAATATTGAGATCTTCACTGAAATTTGAATTGAATTGTTTTCAAAAAATCATTGAATTTCTGAAAAAAATTCAATATTTTTTTCATGTTGCCCAAAACTTCAAACTTCATGCTTCCGAAAGAATCACAAGAGCAGTTCAAGGGAGTAAATCAAAAGAGAGTTACGTTCTCCATCAATGCATCTCCTAAGATGAGCCCCAAAGGAGCAAGAATCACAGGGCACTGGCTAATGAAAGCTATTTTTTATGGTTAGCCTCGCGAGATCAAAATTTTTGTTCGCTCACAATCACGCCAAAATGAGGATGAAAGCGAAATGTGTAAGACCAAATGGAGGGATATCCAACAAGTAACATGAAGACTGACGAACTTCTGCTCAAACAGCTGAAAAAAGAGGAAGGATTAAAGAAGAGTAGGACTGACATGATTGCGTCAGAAACCGCCGCAGAAAGCGTTTGCGTTGCGGCGTCAACCTTGGAGCGCGGCAGGTATCACCCGGACGCTGGAAAACTGGGACGCGGCGAAGAAAAAGTTTTAGGAGAGTGTAACTTTCTTGAGACGTATTTGTTTCACTTATTGAGGTAGGTTTAAACTGTGCCTGAGGTGGCTTTACAGAAAATTGCAAGGATGACCTAACTCTCCCAAAAGTATTTCTGTCAGAAGCGGAAAACCCAAAATTCTGAGAAGGCGCACCTCCAACTTTGAGAGCTCATAAAATCTTTCGTATGCGACATCTTGGAAATTTGTGTGAAAAGTTTTAGAAACTTCAAATATTTCTCTAACAAAAGATTATAAAAAGTTAAGTGATTGTCCCCTTTTTCAAAAATTTGCCCCGTTCGAACAGTTCCCGTGCAAAACCGAGTTTTTAAGCTTTCAGCGACTATAACTCACTTCATTTTGATTGCTGTGTTTCCCTCTTTCCATGGGGTGAAAGAGCAGGTTTTGCTCTTTCTAATAAGCCCTAAACCATTTTTCAAAGTTCATTTTTCGAGAAAATCCCACGTTCGAACATTTCGGGCGGTTTTGCCGAACACATTCTTTGAAATCGCGAGTTTTTGGGCTTTCAACGAGCATAACTCGCTTCATTTTGATTGCTGCGTTTCCCTCTTTCCATGGGGTGAAAGAGCAGAATTTGCTCTTTCTCTAACAAGCTCTCAACAAAGTTCATTTTTCGAGAAAATCCCACGTTCGAACATTTGGATCCCATAGGTTTTTGAGCAGCACATGCGAGTTTTCGAGCTTTCAGCAATAATAACTTCCTTCAAAGAACATGTTGGAAGGGGCGAAGACATTTTTGAAGACTACGAGATTTCTGCTTTCTTATGTGTTTTACCGTTGTCTGGAAGAATCGTCCTCAGAAAATTAGGTCCCGAAGAACTTTAATTTCAGCCCCGAGAAGTCAAACCTTTCATAGGGATGCATTCAACTGTTCTATTCCTCAAGGAAAACACCGTAATTTGCCTAAAACTGTCTCTCTGTGCATAATTAATCGAATCTAATGCGGTCTGCACAAACAATTCTTGCCCTCGGATACGCCACGCACGCGCCTGTGGCTGGCAGTCCTCGAATTGCGACCCCCTTCCGACCAAAATGCGACCCCTTCGTTCGAACAGTTCGAACGGACGGTTGACCCTGGCAATATGATAATTCTATGTCCGAAAACGTAAAACGCATCGTTTCAGCGTTGCGCTATCGCGCCAGTTCGGTCACCGTTGCAATACCCCTTGGTTTCACCAAAATCGGTGTAAACTTCAGTATAGGGGTTATTTGGGAGCCCTGATTACGAATATGACATTCCGTTTTTGGCATTGATGTTGTTCAGTGCACATGTCTCGGCTGAGAGCGCAGACGAGCAGAAAATAGGAGCCAAACAGCGCCACGCAAGATAATGAATGTCATACTCGTAATCAGGGCGAAAAATAAGCGCTATACGGAAGTTTACACACGAAATTGGTGAAAACAAGGGTCGTGACAAGGTGGCGCCAACTGGCGCCAGATGGCGCCAGCGCTAAAAATGAAAGTCATTTTCGTGATCAGGGCATCGACTTACCTCTATAGGCAAATTTGCGGTGGTTTCCTAAGGTGTACAAAGTTACGGGGGTGTATTTACGTGAAATCGGACCGGCCTTGTTACCGAAATTAGGGACTAGATAACTCGCCTGAATCCAGCAATCTTTCAGGAGTACACGCCGGTGTCGTTAATCTGCCGTTTATCAAATATAGTCTCCACACAATGCGCACGTCTGTACCACCTAACACATACCGAATTATCTACAGAGGAGACGCACTAGAGTTTGGCGTTTTGAGTTCCCAGCGCGAATTTTTGGTGAAACTAACTGGATATTATCTCTTGAGGACTGTTAACCGCAAAAGAGAGCAATGTGGTGAGGAGAATTTCCCATGCATCTCTGACAAAAGCGATCCCCAATCGCCGCTCAATGAAAAAGTACAAGACAAAAAACAGTTTTTTGTAATCCGAAACAATGCCCCTACTAAAGCCTGCCTCGAGATCGAACGCGTACCCTTGAGCTACAATATAAAAAAGGTGCGAAATGCAAAAAGAAAGGAAAAAAAAACACCCTTTCAAAGTTTAGTGAAGCTTACACATACATCTACTCGTGCGAAGTCAAACATGCAGTAAAGACTGAGCACCGAGAGGAGAGTGTGAGACGAGAGAGCAAAACAGACGAGAGAGGGCCAGACAACAGCTGCTGCAGACGGAGAAAATTGCAGCTGCTGCAGCTAACTTTACAAGGCCTTACCGCCTTTGAATGACCACTTCCATACACGGGAGTGCCGCATCTGTGATTGCCCTCCAGAGGTCTATTCTATAGGCCAAAGGGAATTCATACAAATTCTGCCTGAGTGCCCCCTTGTGCCTTCGAAAAGTACGGCACTATGTCACAGTGAATCCATGCCCACATATCGACACTGCCTACCACAAATCTGCCCACAAAACAAACAGATTCTGCAGTGGTTCTTACTGTGCCATGCTGGGGACACCCATATCCATCAAAGCGATAGCAGGAATCGTGTAGGTAGTCTAAAAGAAACGGCTCGGTCTAAGTAATCTAGTGGTTTTGGGTGTATTTTGTTGTTTTTGCTTTGGTACGTTTTTCAGTTACGACACATTATGAAAAGTGAACGTGTTCCTCATGTCATTTATAACTTGAGCATTTCCCGATAAAATTCAATTACAACTCCCGGCCCAATGTATTTTCCTTTCGATTAAATCTGGGTGAACTATTGTGAAATTACTTCAACAAAGCTAGCGCCTCCACGTTCACGAATGCTGTAACCATATTGAAGGTGCCCGGCCATTACAATTCAGAAAAAAAGAAAAGAAAAAAGAAAGAAAAAGGCGCACATTCACGCGGGGGGAGGTGTTCGAATGAATTTAACGATCGAATTGTCTCGAGTCGATAAAGCACGATCTTACCGAAAATACGACCGAACTGTCTCAATTCGTTGGAGCATGACCCTTATGGTTAGAATAACGTGCTGAGGTGTACCACCAATACCTTGACATGGTCATGAAACGAGTACTGAAGAAGTCGGAGAAGACAATTACCCATAAGCGTTCAGCTCTTCCCCAAGGTGACTCAATTATTGAAATTTCAGCGGAGCGGCTACAAAACTTCGGACTGCTATTTTCCTGCTTCAACTAGGAATGAAAAGACGAAAAAATATGCTTTTTCTGATGCCTTGATATCATCAAACTGCTCTTTCCTATGACAAGAATATCCAATCAATTGACAACCTTTGAGGACAGAAGATTTGCCTAATCTTTTCAATATAATGCTACTACAGAAAAAAAAACCAAAAATCACAAAAAAGTACGAACTAAGCCGAGCTCCACTGAAGGCTTGCATCACTACAGGAAATACGATATTATATTTCAGCTATCGAAGATCACCTACCGTTCTTTGGAAATCACTGGCTTTTTAATAGTTGGGCTCTGATTACCAGATGATGTGCCTGAAACAGCGAATCTCTACAAAATTACCAACATGAAAATCATTCAAAAACTACCTGGAGTGCTTTGCGGGTGTTGAGAGTGGACATCATCTGTCGTTGGAGAAGAATCAGGCTTCCAGTAACTGTAAAAAAAGAAATACTTAGTGATTTGTGAACATATGCTAATTAAACCCTAGGTGACTGCTCCTGAATGAGGGGAGATTTCATGGGAGAGCAGCCATCTTCACTCGTTCTGCTATATGATGCGTGAAGTAGCCGACGAGCAATTAACGCTGTTTCCTTTTTTGTAAATGAATGCCACTCTAACATGCGTATATTTGAGCACATTGCACTTTTCGGGATGGTCCAGTGCTGTATGGGAGTTTCGTCGGCGTTTGGATAAAATCGAGCCAGCAGCTGTACCTTGCGAATGCCTCGATGGCGTTCGGAATGCGAGTCAGGTCACGATGAGCGGCGAGGATCCGGCGACGGACGAACACACCGAACGGCTGGATCTCAGTCGCTCCGCCCTTGTCCATTTAACTGATCATCGCCGGCTCACATCACGTCCGATCACTGTCAACTTAATGTTCTCAGAAAAGGCATGTGAAGGACGTCAAGTAATAAAGCATAGCATCAGAAGAAGAGCCAAAGTGAGAGATGAGCAGGAGAGGAGGTGATTAGGAGATTGGAGGAAGCAAGGTTATCGTTGTCTAGCCGGCGACTGATGGCGGCCGGGAGTGAGGGTGGAAGAAAAACTTTAAGAGACGAGGCCCCCTATTCGATTATCTCCAGCCGTCACACTAACACACGCTTCCGTCTACCACCAAACTCACACCCGTAGCTTTCCATTCAGAGTCTCATCGCCAGCGGAGACTTTTTAATTAAGTAGGGATGTTTCACTCACATTCACTCATCAATACTGAGAATTGCTGGCCGTGACGGCTTTCAACAGAGCACCTGCCTGCCGTCAAAGGCACGCTCTTTCCAATGCAAGGAAGGCTGCTCGAGAAATTTCTTCTAATTGGCTTTGATGGAAATCTCGGCAGTATTGGGTGCACCAACCATGCTGCTCAGAAGCTATTAGGAATTCTTGGAAGATCTAGTTGTGCCCTACAAGCGATCAGTGAGCATGAATTTCCCACCGTGAAAGCAAGGAAAAAATTAATAGGGCGATAGCACTTCTCCCGGAATACAGCTTCGCATCTGAATACTACAACGAAGACAAATTTTGCATAGAAGACTGAATGCCGGTATTTGGCCCTTAGGGAGGTGAAAGCCCTCAAGCTAGCCAACAAAAGAAAGCATGCAGAGAGATGCTGAATATCAAAAAAAAATCAGGAATTAAAGGAGCAGTAGGGTAGGGCTAAGTCCTGGCAATAAGGAGTATATTCAAGTGAAACTCGTTGAAATTACTACCCCGGGACAAGTTGCCCAGAATGGGCACCCACAACCATTCGTTTCCAAGGAGAAAATAACATATAGCATGAATTTCATGCGCTCTAAAGTATGCTGAAGGGAGTCGAGTGAAAGTTTACGTCAAAGGACCCAAAGATCGATCAGTATGAGCCAAAATGGCGTGTTTACGCATCCAGTAAGTTCAATACAAATCGAAATGGAAGACCAGGGAATTTCAATGGAGTGATGTTCGCTCGGGCGCAAGCGATCGAGGATACTCGAGCGCAGCCAGCCAGCAAGCGATGCCCTTTCACAGTCGCGGACTACGGTAATTTGAAGGGAGTTTTAATGAGAAACAGCGCCGGAATGTCTATAAGTGACTGCTAATGATATCGAGGGATGCAGTACAGATTGGAAGCGCATAAATCAGCTGGGCAGGAACACAACAGCGTCAACTCAGACGCTGTGCTCTCATTTATGATTTCTGAACACGTAGAGGGCATGTTTGAAGAAGATCACCATGTCATTGTTACATTGAAGATTTACCCTTTCCGACTTTTATTGCGCTGTTACGCCTTCAACTGCAGGCCATAACTGACCGGGTTGGAATTCGCGAGGTACCCAAACGGGTAAAACTACTCAAATCAAAAGGTGTGCAAGGGAAAATTGCATACACGGCCGCCATGCCAAAGGGGGTCCATTTTCGGTGTGGCCACCGATTGTTTATCACTGAAAACCACACCACTGCTTCAATGCAGGAAAAATCAATATTCAGTACCACAACAGGCGAGTACCCGACCCAGGTCCGGTTTACCCAGGATAAAAGCAATCGGTAAATCGCGGCTGGAAGATTGGGTATAAATTGGTGGCTTTTTGGCAAGCTAACCGCGACTTTTGGAATAATGCGTTGTTTTTTCTCGATCTCATCCGAGCTACAGGAAGTCAACGGTGACAACAATTAGCAGCTGCTTATTGCTGCACCTCAACAGCAATAAGCCTAAAGTGAATTATCGCTTCTATGGTAACACTGCGAAATAGCGCGAGAATTTGCTCACGCAAACGAGAAAGAAGTTGAAATTTCATGAACCAAAAATCAGAAACGTCATATCGAACTGAAGGATTAGTTTCTTGTTCTTCTGTTATTCCACCGGAAACATTGCAGTCCATTGAAAACTAGTTCTCTCAGGATTTTGAAGACTTGAATGGGATCGAAGAGATCTTCAAGTAACCCCCAAATTTTCCGCGTTCGACAGCTTTTCTGAGCTCCAAGCAGATTTTAAGTAACGAAGTTTCGAACTGGTGGAAGAAGGAGTGGAGAACTTGCACTTCCAAGGTGAGGCCTCTCAGCATTATTAATTTAACAGAGCTGGTTGCCAGAGAGCTTGCTCTTGAAAGGAACCCACTCCTGCAACACTTCACTCTTAAAGGCAAACCCCGGGATTAGCCCGACTAGTAGGAGGGATACCACGAGGGAAATTGTAAGTCCGTACCTACCTAGATCACTCCAGCTTCGTCGCAAAAATTGCGCGGTTAGGGCGCTAATCCTTACGGGCCAACCATCGACCCCGTTCCAACGCTTCCCACCCACCGCGAGATGTGGTGAGATCAGCGTGCATTGATGTAGAGATCAGCGTGCTCTCTCAAACGACGTGCTCTCTCGCGTTGTCTTCTTGACCGCCCTGTCTCGCCATCGTACCACATTCGACCTTATTGAAGGTTGAGGCCTTAATTTCGGCGTTCCCAAGGATTTTTCTTGCTTTCCTCTTCACTTTCAGGTCGCTCTGCAGCTAAGCTATCACCACGAAGCGCTGATAGCATTAGTTTAATCCCGGGTTTGCCTTTCAACGAAAACGGTCAGTGAGAGATTAAAGCAAGAATCAGGGAATTACATTGATCGGTTAACGAATTCAACTTCAAATGCTTTGAAAAATACGAGCCATCTGGCTCAATAGCTGTGTGAGAGAATTCCAAAGACAGGGCAGAGACTGAGAAATGTGAGGGTGAGAGAGTGGTTAGAAAATTCCAGAAGAGGTAGGCAATAGCAGATCAACGCAGCGACGCAGACAAGACATCGATCGGTGGGCGGACCATGTTATGTTTGGTGGAGTCTGTTAGAAGTTCATGGCGCCTAGGGTCCTGGTGACGCGTTTCGATGTAGAAAGGTGGCGCTAACTTTGCACTTGCGTGCCCAGCACTTCTAGCCATGGTAAGGGCTTCTTAGGTGGGTCTGAGCCCGAACTTTGCCTTTAAGTTTAGGGAATTCTTTTAATTTAAAATTTAAAAAAGCGCGAATTTTCAAAAAGATTCAATTTCTTTTCTTTCTCATTGCATATTAATTTATTTATTTACTTCGCGTCCACATACGCGCTTACGTAATAGTATCAGTATCAGCTCGGGAAAGGGCAACATCATAGGGCCTACGACGAGTTACCGAAAACTCCATCTGACATCGGAGATATGTCTCTCACATCGTCACTCAAATATGCACCCAACCCCGTATCCCCATTTTGTGCACAACGGACCAAACCGCTGGAACTCTCGTCGTGACTTTCCACATTTTGGCCTAGCGCACTTCAGTGAAGAACAGCGGTTCTAAATAAGGGAACTGACCAAAATAATGCCTTTTCAAGAAGCAATGTGTTACAAAGAAAACCTGAGCAAGAAATATTTTTCTCGCATTTCCAGCAAACTACGGAAAATAAAGGCAGCTGGGTGCTGGATGTGTGACAGTAATGAATGAGCCCTCTGAAGCAATTGAGTTGTTTGCACTGTAACGAAAAAAATCTACGCAAAATATGAAAAAGGAAGTGGATGGAATATTTGCTCGTCAGATTGCAGTGAATGGAATTTCAAACATTCGAAACTGTGGGTGAATTTCAATTCAGACTGTCCAGCCAGGGCATCAAACATCAACATCGTAAGACCCGAAAAAAACGACCGTCAAACGTTCCAAATACGCAAATAAGACCCTCAGAATGGGTGATTAAAGTTTTTCTACGATCTTTGAGCCTGGACGTCTGAGTGGTGTACTTTGGAGAACCATGCTCACCGTGCTAAAAATCTAATTTCTCCGGAAAAATTGGGTACTCGGAACATATTGTGTGTATACCTTTTCCGATCACAGTACCCTAGTTGAAAGAAATTGCATACCCGAAGGAGAAAATCCTGATGATGTCTGACTTTCTGATGAGGGCACGAAACATGGCATGACGCTGGGCTACTCAGCTATGAACTAATAGGGTAGAAGGATTACGGCAGAAAAAGAAACTGTGGTATACCTCATGCAAAAGTCGAGCCTGGTCGATGGCGTGTAGCCCACCCAAAACATTTTCATAGAATGGAAAAGCTGTCCAAATAACAAAAACTGGGAAAGCTGCCCAAATAACCCAAAGGGTGTCAATATGTGGGATGGGCCAGGATTGTGGCGAGGTGTCGAACGGCACTATTGAGGACGGAAGCAAAACACATGAGAGCCTGAGGGATACAAACTGAATCGGCGCCTTTTCCGCCTCGTTCGCTGCGTCGAATCGATACCACAGCCTTCGCTAATAATGAGTCCGACGATGGCAATTCTGAAGCAACCACACCGCGAAAACATCATCGTAGCTGTGGCCATCTGGATGAATGCTGTCGACAATCCAGCAAAAGCGCTGAATCAATGAGGACTGGAAAAAATCCGAGGGCGCTCATGTCGCTAGGAGGGACACTGAACTGAGTAAGCCACTTACAGAACATGCGACTCACCATAAGCCTTAGGGAGAGGAAGGGATTCTGAAGGAGGACCTGAGCAGACTTTGCTCTACGCGGCGTTTTTCCCCTCTATGGGCTTGGTCCCATAAGTCGCCTACCACTAGTTGAATGCTCTGTTTTGAGAGCCTCCACCCCTAAGCTAAGCGCGCCGAACTCTAGTGTTCACGTCAAAAACTCATCAGGGAACGTCACTTTACTTCTGCCTGATTTCCGGAGAGGGTAAGCCGTGCCGAGTGACCAGGTGATCCCATATACGACCCTTCCGACTTTGATGATTAGCGAGCACCATCACCTTTCAGCATTTTACTGAGTTTGAGGGGAAATTTTTCATCTTCTTTGAGGCTTCTTCAGTACCTTCTCGTCCCATGGAATTTGGGAAGTACGGTGATCCCGCTTAGCCCAGCACAGTCTTACAGCCTCTTCCCCTTCCCCCCAGCCACAAGTACGCTCAATAGTCGTCTGATTGGGCCAAAAGGTTCACCGTACTTCCTATATGTCCTTTGCAGTCACCTAGAGAATACATCAGTGTTGCTTACCTGCTCGATCGAGGCCTACATGGCTCGGCGGCGATTGTTGGTAGCCCGGTTGCACTGGTTACTGTCGAAAACGTGATATTTGACACCCGCGGTTTCGACGTCTGAAAACGATACTTTGAGAATTTTTTCAAGATTGTTGGTAGCCTTTATGTAACTCCCAAGCAAAACAAGCTTTAAACTTCAAAGCTTTACTTTTAATCTGGCTCAACCCTTAAAAATTCCTAAAGTCCAAATAATGCGTTTCTACTCTTGCAAGCTCTATATTTCCAAACCGTAGGCCAAAGAGCAATTATTGCATTAACCAGCGTATTGAACATTACCGGTGATAACAGCGGATCTTTGCATTGCATCGATAATTTATGACTCGTATTTTTAGCATTGCCTTGAACAGCGTCTCAAATATGACAAATATAAAACTCCCAATAAATAAGATAGAATGGATAAATAACATATCGTCGTTCGCCCTGCGCAGATTTTACCAAAACGTTTTTGAATGACTGCAGCACCAACTAAGCAGTATATGATGTTGTTTCTATACTTTAGTAGGACTCGCCCTCAGGCGATGATCCGATACGCAAGCGTTTTAATGTAATCAGTGCGAGTTTTTTTGGGCATACTATGACGGCGACTGAATTCTTGAATACGATATTTATTGATGACTCAGTCCACCTGTCAGCGAGCGTGCAGTTCCGACAAATACAGCGAATAGGAACGCCCTTTCTGCCGATACGAGACTCCACTGCATTAGTCAAATACCCAGAATATACAGGGATATATAGAGCTATTTTTTCAACAAAGAAATGTGAAATTCCATGGATTCGGTTGCTCTTTCCTAACCGAAGTTGCTTTCTGTTAGGGGAAAAGGGCGTAAATCACCAGCTCAGTACATTCCTGTGGAAACCTTTTGTTTCTCTTAACAAAGGCAATTAAACCTTTTATTCATAGATTCGCATCGTTCATCACTTGGCCAAGGCTGGCCGGATGTTTTCTATTGAGGGAATGACCAAATAATCGAAAACAAATTCGGCAAACAGATTATCTCTGGATTCTGAACAAATATTTTCAATAAGTAATGAATTCAGTGGGCGGCTTTATAAGTGACGTGAAAATTCATAAGCAGCATTGTTGTGATCTAGCAAATGTATAACTAATAAATAATACTATTGCGTTTACTAATTCTTGACATTTTTTTCAAATAAGTGAAACACAATTCTCATTCGGGAAACTTAATTGAAAGGCAACACTGCCAGGGTAGGCATATCGACAGCGGCAACAAAGGGCAAAAGGAAATGCAGTGGTTGCAGAGGAGATGATTAAGTCAGAAAAAGGCGGATTCATGGTCAAACACCAGAGGTTCCCTCAGCGGATTCAGTTGTGTTCCTTGGCGAACCCATCTACAGGCTTGGAAGCCAGTTGTGGTACCTAATACATGCAGTAGCGGTCAAAACTGCTCGCCAAAACGGTTTCTGTGCAGTAGTCACCTAATCAAATCGCTCCAAACACTGATTTGCTACATATTTATATTTCAGATTTTTTGAATCATTGAGTTTTGAAGGTCCAAATTCGTCAACAGAAAAAGTTCGAAAGTAACTTCAAACCTTAAAGGAAAAAAGCACAAAAATTTCTCTTCCGGCAAATGTTTTCTACAAACAAGGTATGTATCTTCTCAGCATTGAACACATCGGCTGGAAGGAGGAGCGGTTTTGATGACGTTGCGACGTGCCATTAGTAGACGGGGGTTGGGAGGTAGCGCTAACACCTAACCCAAGCCACCGCCTTCTCCCCCTCCCCCCCCGTCCCAGCGCGCTAAGTTGTCTAGTCAACAGATGACGTTCAAAGATCATTAAAAGCACTCTGCCCCCAAGCTATTGTGTTCACTGTTGAGAAGACCCTGAAGATGTTTTAGGCCATCAATAGGAGAGCATGGTTTAAATTGAATACTTTGAGGCATTGAGAAGGATCCCTTCTTGGCCGAAGAGAATTTTGCTTTTAGAGGAAGTAGCAATTTCTGCTCTCAGATTAAAAACAATAGTCTTTCACTTTTCTTGCTCTGCCGACTGTTTTCCTTTCATTTTTG